TGCCGGTGAATATGCTGATAATGATGAAGACCCTAATAACAAAGACGACAATAACATTAATGTCGAGAGTGATGACGCTAGTACTATGGAATCAGATACTATAGTGGACTGAAAGGGAAAGCAAAAAGCTCGGGTATAAAAACATTAAAAATTAATCATAACTAAATTCTTAACTACTTACTCGTATAAAAGGAACCGATCTACATCGTCTTCTAATTTTCTCTACAATATTACTCGCTAGAGGATTCGATAAATATCATCCTATAAATATAAATTGCTCCTCTTTATATAAAGAACTCTTATAAAATATATAAGATAGCATTTTATCCAATATTGAATCAATCATTTTGTTTTCTACAAATCAAGTCATTCTCTAGAGAAATAATAGAATATTCACTTAGACTTTTCTCAGTTCGGATACTTTATGTGGCATAGAACGGCAAAAATGCCAATGAATACATTCCACGCAGAGATTAGTCAATTCTCATAAAACTAAAAAATCGAGCACGGCTATGACTCAGCAATGGTGCTTCTTGTACATCATTTGACGACAAATGATCTCAAATCGATACGGAAATAAATTATCAATTTCATCTTCCCGCATCGTCATTAGTTTACTCAACCTTTAACATCACCACCAATAGCACCACTCAAAGACAAACACAAATATCTCTGACTAGTAGGGGGAATTACCCTCGGAGTAATAATTTCTGCCCTTTTAGTCTTTTTACGCCTCCACCGCCACCATCCATTTCCGTCATCAGAGTTCTAAAAGAGAAATACCGTCATCAGGACCTCACGTTTCAATGAAATCTGATTTTACTTTGGAAATTGTTTTTTTAATGAATTTTGCGATTGCGCGAAGACACTTTGAATATTTCAATACATACAAAATATCTTAATCAATTAATTTCGAATCAATCACATCTTCTACTTATTGAATTTGATGATCAAGTGCAGGTCCAAACTGAGTCTGTCCCGTAATTGATGTCCATTATCAAAAATCAAGCAGACCGGAATAACATTCCCAATTGAAGCTAGACCCTCTCTATTTAGCGTACAAAGAATTGTTGAAAGAAGGATAATTATGTCAACGTTTTATATTTCGCTTATTAATAATCTTCAAAAGATTAATTGACAAATCAATCAATAATAAAAAATCCAGGAATTAATCGAGGCCCTAAAGGATGCTTATACCAGAAAGTATTTAACAATTTAAATATTATGATATTACTGACTACGTAAACATTTACGCAAAATAAAGATTCAAACACGCCTTTTTTCCTTTCACTCCCAATTTCCCATATCCCCTGGTCACTTTTTATTGTAATCGTGCGTTTAATCTGAATAACGTAAATACAATTACCGATACAGATATTAAATATATACCATTTGTATCGAAAAATTTCATATGTTAATGTGTAAGTTCACTGACCTTCAAAAGCAATGAAACAGCTTCAAGCTCTGCAAGAGTTTTATTTATACCGGCTAAATTCAGATGTGGCTTCGTTACTTGCAATGCGATTAAAATGCTTTATCGTCCCGTCTATTTCTGGTTCCTTGATTTCTTACCCATTGATGATATTAATAGTACTGCGTAATCGATTTATATTTGTAGCATCCATTCAGCAAAAAAAACAAAACTTGTCTACTTAATTTTCCTCGGTGTACATAAGCACTGATGATTTTTCGTACACTTAGAGCTTGGCATCAGCATTACATTGCATTGATTGATTGCACATGTACTGCCATATCTTGTGTAACCCTAGAAAATTGCGATACGTTTTATTTTTTTAAATTCTACAAAATTGAGCGAAATCTTAATTCTATATATTACAAACGCCATAAATAATAATTTGATAAAACAATGACTACGTGAACAAAAAACAAGTTGAGTACAAAAAATTAGATCAAATGAATAAATAAAAATTTTTGCATCTAATATATTTAATTTTTTTTGGAATCATTTCCCCACCAGGTAGTGTTTACGAGATCACCTCTCTGCCAGGCCTCCGTATTGATGTTCAGATCAATGGATTCATCGGCGGTGATAGTATTAGTCTCATTTTTATTTTTAGCATTAGCTTGAGACTTAGACGATTGGGCCTTAACTTGAGTTTTACGACTTTTCGGTTTTTTATTTGCGTTTTTATCCTTTTTACTCAATTGTTTTGAATTACTTCGGCTGTGTGTGGGTGAACTAGCTCGACTCTTAGTATTTGAGCCGGTTGGAATTTTTACTTGAGGCTCAGATTCATCAAAAAGTTGTTCTTGTGCGACTCGCCTGTCATCAATTGTTGAATCTGCAGAGTCGATCTGATACGTAAAATCGTCATTTGTGGTTTGAGGAACCTCATAGCTGTTTATTGGTGGAGTATTGACGGATGGTTGTGAAACGGATGATGTGGCGGTTAATATTTGATTATTGGTTTGAGACGTTGGTGGAACATTGATGGACTGCTGTGAAGTAGATGATGTGGATGAGGTGGCGGTTGGCATTTGATAATTGGTTTGAGATGTTGGTAGAATATTGATGGATTGCTCTGAAGTGGTGGTTGACATTTGATTATTGGCTTGAGGTATTGTACGATAATTATTATTCACAGACGTCTTAGGAGAATTCACTGATGGAGATTGAGCAATTGTCTGAGATACTGGTGGCATACGATAATTATTACTCACAGGTAGTTGTGAAGAATTCAGTGATGGAGAAAGCACACTTGACTGAGATGTTGATGGTGGCACATGATAAGTATTAAAAGGTAGAGAGTTCATTGATGGAGATTGCACACTTGACTGAGATATTGTTGACGTTGGTATAAAATTACTCGAAGGTAGAGAGTTCACTGATGGAGATTGCACACTTGACTGAGATATTGTTGATGGTGATATATAATTATTCGAAGGTGGATAACCCATTGATGGAGATTGCACACTAGTCTGGGATATACCACCACCAACGGTATTATAATTATTATTCACGAGCGGCTGCTGAGAAGTCAGAGATGGAGGCTGTGCAGTTTTCTGGGATATGTTCGAAACATATTGATTAGTGACAGGCTGTTGCGACATAGAAGCCTGTGCAGAATTTGTTTGAGATATTGATGGATAATAAGCATTATTACTATGCTGAGCCTTTATTGGAGATTGAGGTATTGGTGCATAATAAGCATTATTATGTTGAACCGTTAATGGAGATTGAGGTATTGGCGTATTATAATGATTATTGACCGCCGAAGGAACAGCTATCGAGGATTGTGTGTTTGTATTCTGCGAAAATGGAGGAAGATAGCTGTTACTATTGTTGTTTGCATGTTGTTGTAATAAAGTAGGATAGTTATTGCTATTATTATTCGTATGTTGCTGAGTGATTGTTGAAGGTTGTTGAAGACGTTTATTTTCGCTTTCTGCTCGTCTTAATTCACTTTCCAAACGTGTTTTATCACTTGTTATTTCATCAATTTCACTTTGTAATCTGTTTATTTCAGCTTCATCTTCCTTTTTCCGATTTTCAAGATTATCAAGCTCTTCTTGCAATTTTGATCGATCATTTTCAACCCTTTGAAGTTTCTCTTGCTCATTCTTCAATTTGTTTTTCTCATTTTCCATTTCCGCTCGTAATTTTTTATTTTCATTTTGCAATCGACTTTCTACGCTAGAGAGAGTTTGCGTTCGTGATTTTTGACTGTCAATTTCTTTTTGTAATTTTTCATTTTCTTGTTTGGCTCTGCGAAGTTCACCCGAATATTTTTCTTTCTCTGCGTAAAGATTATCTTGTAATTCTCGATTATTCTTTTTCACAGAGTCGAGTTCAGATTTATGCTTCGAGAGTTCGTTTTCTTCATTGCTACACAGAATCTCCAGTTCGTGGATACGTTCGTCCTTCTCCTTGAAAGCTTTTTCGTATTCCTGGACTTTGGTGCGTGTACGATCGAGGTCCGATTGGAGTTTATTATGACGATCACGTAAACTTAGGACTTCTTCAGCACTTTTCTCCAACTCATCCATTCGATGGCACATACGCTCGAGCTTCTCAATGTGTTGCTCCGAGCATTCAACTTGAGAACGAAGTCTCATGGCTTCAATGCGATTAGATTCGAATTTATGTTTGAATTCTGTTATCTTATCTTCGAGATCTTTTTTTTGAGTTTGAAGCTTAGAAATCGTTCCTTGAAACGATTCATTTTCTTGAACACGTAGCTTACTGAGTTCACTTCGACTCTTTTCAAGCTCATCGACTCTCGATTTTAAAGCTTTATTTGTTTGCAGGAGAACTTCAATCTCTTCGGATTTAGCGCGTATTTGTTCACTTTCTTTGTTTCGGTAGCTATCAGCAATTGATTGTAACTCACGATTCTTTTGTTGTGTCCGATTCATTTCTTTTTCCCAGTCTTTTTGTTGATCTTGCATCTTTTTAAGTTGCGATTCATATTGAGTTTGCTTTTGCTTATATTCATTCAATTTTCTCTCGTAATCTTGGTCTTTGTCTTCAAGCTGGGATTTAAATTCTCGATCTTTTACTCTTAATGCGAGTTGTGATTCGCCTATATCCAATTCTAATTTGCGCAGGCTAAGTCGAAGATTACCAAGTTCTTGTTGTTGATTGCGTTCCGTTTCCTGCCAACATCTTTCCTTTTGTTGATAATTCATATTCTCTTGAACAAGTTCACGGCATTTTTCCTCAATTGACTGAAAGTCGATTTCTTGAGTTTGTAATTGGTTTCTTATATTCTTTATCTCCTCGTACGCCTGTCTTAGTTCATTCTCCAACGAGTAATTAGTCGTCGAATCTCTTTTTTGTAACCTTGAAAGTTCGGCAGAAAGTTGATCTTCACGGTTCTTTAATTCAGCGATTTCTTGTTGAAGTTTCAATTTGTTGGTTCGATTCTCTTCAGAGAGTTTCGCGTTCTCATTGGCAAGGTCGACATTTTTTGCTTCAGTTTTAGTCAACCGAGATAGTAGTTCATGCTGTTTTGCCATTTCGGTGTCGAACTGATGTTGTCGTAATTGTAGTTGTTTGTGATCATTTAATAGTCCACTAAGCTGCGATTTGATCTCATCAAAACTACTGATACCTTTTTGAATTTGATCCAGATTAGATTGTAAATTTTCATGTTTCTCCTGGATTTCAGTATGACGTTTAATAAGATTATTGGCTTCAGCTTGTTGTGAAAAATGTCGAGTCTGTAATTCTTCCTGCCGTAGTAAAAGATCTTTATAACTTTCTATGGTTTTATGACCGCTTTTCAATTCTTGTAGTAGTTCATGAAGCTCTGCCTCCACTTTTTTCAACTCTGATTCCTCACGTTTTTTCTCGTTGATCAATGAAGGATCAGTTTGTAATTTATTGTTATTATTATTTATTTGTAACAGAGATTCCTTGGTTTCCAACATAATTTTTGTTAGTTGGCTTCGAACCTCTTCTATGCGAGTAGTTACCTCACCAGAAAACTTAGCGTATTGCGCTTCCAAATCAACATATGGAACGGGAATCGGGGTTGGTGGCACGTAATAACTGTCAAAACCTGGATATCCATAGGGTGCATTAGGATCTATTATTGACTGCTGTGTCATGTCAGCAGAGTGTCTGTGTCTGCTAGCTCGCGGTGCTTTCTTTTTTGACGCATTGGTTGTAGGTTGATCATTCACTTCATTGCTCGTATCTTGCAAGTTTTGTGAATTTCCCTGTAACGTACAGAAATAGAAATTAAACATGCAGAATTCATGGTGCAAACATTAATGCGCATGAGATTATTAAATTTACCTTTTTGATGTTATTATTATTGTTGTTGTTGTTGTTGTTGTTGTTGTAATTGTAATTAGTATTATTATTTTTCTTTCTATCTTCTTGGTCACTAGATCCATTTTCCATAGATTGAGTAGCATCAGCAGAACTCCGGGTTGGTTTGAATTCTTTAGCAAAAATATTAAGATTACTTTGTCTTCTGCGAGACTTCTCTTTCTTTTCATCATCTTCATGCTCATTCTCCTTGTTCTCATTATTGGGTATGTCTCTTGTAGTGGTA